AGCATTTGCTCTTTGGTACTTCTTGATCTGCAATCCTCACCCCTAACTCATTTGAACCTCATTTCCCACTAGACTTGCACTCCATATACTCTATCTTGACCTACTTAGGGGAAGATCTTTAGATTCCAACACCTCCAGCCAAAAATTAAGCTTCACATTTACTCCCTCCTGAGTCCTGAGTTTCATCTATCAACCCTATATCGTCTGTGAAAAGCATTACACCAAGGAATATCATCTTGAATATGTCCCGTTAACTCATCCATTACCAATGCAAAAAGGTAAGGACTTAACGATGAGCCTTGATATAACCCTACAGTTATAGGAAAGCTTTTAGTTTGTCCTGCATGAGTTCTTACGATAATCCTTACTTCGTCATATGTATCTTTTATATGCTACTCGTACTCCTTTCTTTCTCTAAAATCCTCCACAAAATCTCTCTTGGGACCCTATCATACGCTTTTCCAAATCTATAAAGACCATGTGCAAATCCTTTTTCATATCTCCTATATCGTTCCATCGATCTTCATAAGAGATACGTTGCCTCTATGATCGAGCGCCCTGACATGAACCCGAATTGATTGTCTGAGACCCATGTCTCTTAACTCAGTCTATGCCTAATCCATGCTAAAATAAAATACCAACTTGACTGCTGTCGAAAGATTCATACTGAAAAATGAGCATTTCCTCGAGTTGCAACTAACTGATTCAAATTTGTAAATAAAAAACAAATAATTCTGGTATAATCTCAGTCTCTTGCAAATGAATGTTAGTTTGTACTCCAATGTGGTTCATAGGATTCTTCCGGGTCAGAAATAGCAAATTGATCCAAAACCAGCACTTACATCACAAATCCTTTACGACATTTCCTAAAACATACAAATTATGAATTGTTGAAGTTCCATTTGACCCCTTACCGTGAGTGCTACAAAACTACATGCGAGTTCATCCATCCTAAGATCTCAAGAAACAACTCATATCTTGTACAAGTTTCGAGCATTTTCACTTGAATTACTCAATGGTCAGAAACTTGGAATTGGAAAAAAAAAAACACAAAACTGATTTCCTTTCTTATTCATTTTGTTCTTTAAACAGCTCGAGAAATGTAGCGCCCGCAGTTGTACTTTTCAGTGCTCAAATATTAGCCAAAGTTTAGATGATATAATTCCATCAGCACCTCTTTCAGTCAACATAAGCAGGCCAAACTACACAATAATAACAATTTAAAGCCCCATTTCAAAAATAAATAATAAATAATAAAATCAGTCGGAAACGGGAATCAATTCGCCATTGTCACTAATAAATTCACATTTCAAGTATTGGGTAAGACGTAATTACACAAACAGAAAGCTGCATATTAAATAAAATGTAATAAAAAAAACTCAAAAATAATTATTTCGGTGAGAATTAAATTACAGCTACACTGAATCGATTTGGGCTTGAACTGGAACAAAAATTTCTCAAATTTCGAAACTAGGTCCAAAAACCAAACATTGCAGAACTCAGATTCAGAGGATTAAGAGCGAATAGAGATCCAGAAACAGTGAAACGCAAAGGGTAGTAAACAAAACGACCAGAAAACGTAGAGTCTGAAGGTTTACTGACCTGAGAGCTGGTGAGCACGGTGAGCAGCGCGGCAACGAAATACCACTGCATCGTCTTCTTCCAAATGACCAGCGGTTGCTCGCGTAAAGTTTGGGGCTTTGCTAAGAAAACGTACGCGCTGATTCGGGCATTGGACTTTCCGGTTACATGTGTACGGCGATGATAAAATCAGCGTCGATTTGGGTGCGAAACTTGTCGGCTGAGAGATTGGCAGTCTGGCGGCATTGCTGATTAAATCTCCTTCCACTCCAACCTAGAACTGCCAATCGGGTCGCCTTTACCGTGTTTTTGTTGATTTCATGACATATGTCGTATCTTAAATGAAAATAAGTCTTCATTTTGGGTGAAAGAGTCAAGAAAATTAAAAAAGTGTGAAATTACTCTTTCGTCGTAAATTAATGGCCAGGGTGAATTGGTCCGCCGGATCCGCAGTGAATGATCCGGAGATGATCTGAATTTCCTTTTTATCTGTCAGATACTCTTCTTCTTTGATCTTTTTTAATTCATTCGATTTGACGATCAATAACTGAAGGAGTGTGTGAGAGATGACAATGGGTGTGTGAACAGCACCACCCTATTTACAAATCATGTTGTCACTAAAATAGTATCCACATATCCTAAACACTAAACCATAAAAATCCAAATGACGATGTAATCATTGTCAAAGCTAGAGGATGCGATGACGGGCATTTGTATACTTTTTTCCCATTTTTCGCACTTATAAAAAAATTATTATAGATTTTCAACTCCACATAAAAATGTTGTTCACGAGGGTTTGGAGGATTTTAAAAAATGAAAATGACTTAAAAACTTGGAGTTTTAACGATAAGGACAAAATAAAGGGTAAAGTGAATAGTATCAAGATTGATTTTTTAGTGTAAAAATGTGGTTTTTCGTTAAAGTGAACAGTACCGGAAACTTTTCGTTAAAGTTCATTTTTTAAAATGCAAATGACGATGATATCGTCAAAGCGCAAAGTATGATCACAAACTTATCAAATTTTCACACATGTAAATTATTATTATAATCTACTTTGGTATTTGGTAGGAAAAATCAAATTACATTATAAAATAAAAAATAATCCATAATAATTAACGTACTAGTGTGAAAAATGTGGAAAAAATATGCAACACTCGTGTTTACATCCTCTGCACTTGAATGATGGTTACATCGTCGTTTGGACTTTTAAAGTCCTTCAAACCCTCAAGAATAGTATTATTTGTTTGAGTGTAAACTAATAAACATTCATAATAATGATGTATAAGTGTGAAAAAAGTAAAAAACAAAAACTCGTAATAACAAGTTTTACAACTTTTATGAAGAGGCCAACTTCAAGATTTGACATCATAATTCATAATCCCTAGATTTTTATTTAATCGTTGATTATCGTTTACGTTTACGGTTCATTCTTTTCATCAGATTTCATTTTTCAAATTTTTTTTTTAAAAAACATGATCTTTTAATGGTTGCAAAAAGATGAACGTTTTGGATTGTTGATATCACTTTCAGATTTTTATGGTTAGTGAAAATGTTGCTCAGAATTTATAGTCAACGATCCAAACTGTTTATCTCTGCATCCGCTAAAAAAAATCATGTTTTAAAAAAAAGAAAATCTGTAAAAATGAAATTTGGTGAGAAGAATGGAGCATAAATGTAAACAATAATCGAGTTGACCCCTTAGCGAAAGTTGTAGAGCTTATCTGTGACATCCCACATCGTTCAGGGGAGTGATCCTTATATATATATATATATATATTCTCATCCCTACCTAGCACGAGGCCTTTTGGGAGCTCACTGGCTTCGGGTTCCGTAGGAACTCCGAAGTTAAGCGAGAAGGGGGCTTGAGCAATCGCATGATGGGTGACCCACTGGGAAGTTGCTCGTGAGTTCCCAAAAACAAAACTGTGAGGGAATGGTAAGCCCAAAGCGGACAATATCATGCTACGGTGGTGGAGTGGGCCTGGGAAGTGATCCGCCCCGGACGGGGATGTGACAAATTGGTATCAGAGCCTAACCCTGGTCGCACGTGTGCCGACGAGGATGTCGGGCCCCTAAGGGGGGTGGATTGTGACATCCCACATTGTCCAGGGGAGTGATCCTTATATATAAATATATATATATATATATATATATATATATATATATATATATTCTCATCCCTACCTAGCACGAGGCCTTTTGGGAGCTCACTGGCTTCGGGAACTCTGAAGCGAGAAGGGGGCTTGAGCAATCCCATGATGGGTGAGCCACTGGAAAGTTGCTCGTGAGTTCCCAAAAACAAAACCATGAGGGAATGATAAGCCCAAAGCGGACAATATCGTGCTACGGTGGTGGAGCGGGCCCGGGAAGTGATCTGCCCCGGGCGGGCATGTGACATTATCATTATGTGCATTTGTATATTTTTGTTTACATTTTTCACACTTATATATCAATCATTATGAATTTTTATTAATTTTGCACTAGATGATTCCTTATTGGATTAGGTTTCCGTGTTTTGTGGAATAAGCATGGTTAATTTCAGCGAAGTTGTCGTTCTTCGCCTATTGCTCCGGAATAGGATGATGGTGACATCATTGCTCTGTATGTGCAACTTCGCTGCAAATGTTGTTAAGTCCAAGACTAGACTTCTGAGATATTCATATTTGAATATGACAAGGAAAATTATGGTCCCAAAGAATATCTTTAAAAAAAAAATCTTTAAATGATGATAAATAGAAATAAATAAGGGTGTTGCTAAACTCACCTCATTGTCTTATTTCTCCATCGACATTTTAATGAAAATGTTAATGACTTATTGAAACCTCCACCAAATTTTGACAAATCAAATTATTAATATTATTTTTATACTTTCTTCAAAAAAAAAAATTAGACAGTTTTATTTTTGACTTATCATTTTGAAAGTATTCATGATAAGTCAAATATTATAGCAAATTAAGGTAAGTAGGCCCCATGAATAAAGGAAATAGATGACAAAAAACAAATATAGCATGTACTTCATAAAACAAATGTAGCATGTACCATGTAACAAAGACGAAACAAACTATCAAATAATTTCAACACTTGAGAATGAACACATATATTCATACACACACAATTATACCATTGGGGATGAATTTAGAAATAGATACGGATCGGAAACCAATGTAATCATATTCAAAATTGTAATCGAATAATATTCATAATTTAGAAATGATTATCCAGTCATAAATTTAACGGGTTGGATTGCTATCTCCATATTGGATCAAGTTTATGCCTTGTCGTTGACTTGTACCAACCGGTGGACTTGGTGTTATTAGTTTTGTCTTTTGATTGGACCGTGATTTAGGGCATGATGCACCCACGGGATTTTCGCGGAAACATCCAAAACATTCGTTCCCTCTTCATTTGGTCACTACTCTCTCTCTCTCTCTCTCTCTCTCTCTCTCTCTCTCACTCTCAAGTCCTAAAACCGCCATTACCGACGGCAACCCCGGCACTACAACCACCTTCTTGAAAACCCCCAATTCCCCAAATCCAAAACCCTAAAATCGAGTATAAACATCCCCCCACCTTCTTCAATTCTTTGCAATTTCAGACGAATCCGTTCTCCCTTTTCAAGCTCGGAACTCAAATTTAAGGTAATATCACTATATGAGGTCAACTTTCAGTTTTTGGGGTTAGGGTTTTTGTTTAATTTCAATATCAGTGAGCGGTTTTGTAGAGGGGTTTGAATTCAGTTGGGGGTTCAACTGCAATTTCCTTTTCATGTTGCAGTTAGGGTTTTGAAGGGTTTCAGTTTAAATTTTGGCTTCAATTTTATTAGTGTAATTGTACAACAACAACAACAACAACAAAAAGCCTTTTCCCACTAAGTGGGGTTTATTAGTGTAATTGTAATCTCTCTAAATTTGTGTAACGTAGGTAGGGGTTCTTGTGTTGGAGAAGGAGTTGACCATTGAATTGGGGGCTGTTGCTTGCTTTTGCTGCACCTGCAGGTTAAAATCTCAACCTTTTGCCTTCTGTGAATGTATTGGTTGCTCGCTGTGAATGTTCTGGTTGCTTGCTGTTAATGTGAAATGGTGAATTGAACTTTGAACTAACAAAATTAGAATGTAATTTATTAGATTTGCACACTAACAGGATTACTTTACTCATAAATTTATTAATATATGCAGTGGAAAAGGTCGTGAAAACATTTAAAACAAATTCAAGGTATACTGTATTCCGTTTCAAAATTTGGACTTGGAGTAATAGAAAAATCTTACATGAGGTGGACATGGTTGAGAGAAGGGGAGAGAAGGAAAACATAAAGAAACTAAGGGGCAATTATGGTTTGAAGTGTACTTCTATTGAGTCATCAGTTGACGGCAAAGAAATCTCCCTCCAACATTATAGGTGGTTGGCCTTCATCTCTATGTATTCATTTCGAGAGTTCTTAGCAAATGAAGAGATGTCAGAGGGGCTTACCAGAGACAGCTTAGAACCATTAGGCCTTTTCCTTATATACTGAACCAGTGTTCTATAACTTGAATTTCATAAAGATTAGTCAGTCTTCCAATAATTTGAGTTAAGATCACAATTAAAATTTTGCTGGAATGAGCATTTCATTGGTATTGATTAAGCGATAGAAGCACTGATTCACAGAAGCCTGTGGTTAGATAGGGGTAGACATAACAGTCCTTGCCTAATGGTTTTGAGGAGGATACTTTTTGTCTCCTACAACCTTTGTTAAACAATCTATGAAAGTTGAAACAATAGGAAGGACTCGGTCGTTGCCTTCTACAAATAAAACCAAAAAAAATACAAAGTTAGTTTAGAATTCAATGTCAAACCTAGATTAACCATATTGGACCCAACACAAAATGAACGCAATGAAACATGGGCATCACAGATTTCAAACTGAAATTGGGACAAATGTTGATGGAGCACCACTAACTAATCAAAGTTGTTCCAATACTTCAGTGTTGAGTGACTTCTTATGAGTCCTGCAAGTTCCTATATTTCAACACAAATCAGAAGAGAGAAGGGGGATTTTGGTTGAATTTTTTAAAACCCCACATGTTCCCTTGGTCAATTAACTACCCTAAAACAGTAGAATTTCATTTATAAATGGAAATCAAGTTTTAATTGCCTTTACACATACAAATCCATTTTTTTTTTCCGTCTCAAGTGGTTAAGTCCCTTTTCACATGCGAATCCATCTCTTTTCATTTCAAGCAGTTACTCTTTTGTGTCATTCACAAACTGTATCAGCATATACCTTTTTCTACTCCAGTATTTTATCTGCACTTTCCCATTACCCCATCGCATTTTAAATTTGCTATACTCTCCTTCATAACCTTTGGGTTATTTATTGTAGTTTTTGAATTCCAATTCTTTATGTTGGTCTTAGGACTTCTAACCTTTATGTTGATAAGGGTTCAGTTTTTGAATTTCAGATTGGATATTAGATATTTGTTTTAAGTTCATTTTGGAGGGATTTACTTGACCTTCGGTTTTTAGCATGCAGGTTGCCAAAACTGAATTGAATTGTTCTTCCATTTATAGTATGCAACACTGAATAATGTTTAGCCAAATACGTATATTTTCTCTGACCTAGTTGAGGCTGAGATTCAGGCAGCTGGGAAGTGGTGTTTAAGCTTCAATTTCAAGTTTTGGCTACAGTTTCAAAGTTTATCAGAATGGTTTAACTTTGTGAGACACTGTCAAAGTTAAATTGGTAGCTGGTGTGAGTTTGTTGGAGTTTTGTTCAAGATGGATAACTCTGCAAACATGCATAATGATCATTTGGGTGTGAACAAAATGGGGAAAAATATAAGGAAGAGTCCTTTGCACCAACCCAAATTTGGTAATAATGACGCCAGGCAACAACCTCAGCCTCAGGTGTACAATATAAGCAAGAATGACTTCCGGAACATTGTTCAGCAGCTTACCGGTTCGCCATCGCAAGAACCTTTGCCTAGACCTCCCCAGAATCCGCCAAAGCCCCAAAGTATGCGGTTGCAGAGAATTCGACCTCCCCCATTAGCACCTATCAACAACAGACCGTTAAACACACCTCCAGCTCCTCTTCCTGCTGGCCCACCACAGGTTCCCTACAATAATAACTTCGTTAGGCCTCCTCAGTTTGGACATCCATCACCTACACCAATGCCACCATTTCCACATGGAGATTCAATGTGGCAAAGTACAGCTGAATCTCCTATCTCAGCATATATGCGGTACCTTCAGAGTTCAATGTTAGATCCAACTCCAAGGGGCAACCAACCTCAGCCTCAACCACAAGTTCCAGGTCAAATGCAGTCTCAGCCACCATCAACCGGTTTACTTCCTAACCCATCCGTATCTGCTCACCCACCCCCGAGAATGAATGCCCCTGGGGCACATGCGCCTAATCTACAGCATCCACAGATGAATGGTCCTCCCCTCTTACCGTCACCAACTTCACAGTTTTTATTGCCATCCCCAACGGGTTACATGAACTTGTTGTCTCCACGGTCACCTTATCCATTGCTTTCACCTGGGATGCAGTTTCCTCCACCCTGGACCCCCAATTTTCAGTTCTCTCCAATGGGCCAATCAGGGCTATTAGGTCCAGGGCCTCAACCCCCACCTTCTCCTGGCGTTTTGTTTCCATTGTCTCCTTCAGGGTTTTTCCCCATTTCAAGTCCAAGATGGAGGGATCATCACTAGTTGGCACAACATTGTTAAGCATGTGAGTCCATACATTCCCTTGTGCTCTTTCTTAATGTGGACTCGTCGACTACTTCTAGGAGCTTCTTTGTGAAAAATATATTGTATACTGGTAGCGTAAGTGGCTTTTCGGGCTACCTGTAATGTTCGCTTCTCTTTTCTTTATTTTTCTTTTGTTGACACCTTCTCTGCAGCTTTTTTGAATCTTGAATCTGTATCAGCTCATATCTTTTCGTCTAATTTTGTTATCTTTTGATTAAATTGTAGTTTGTTGTCAATTTTCTTCTTCAGTTAACGAAGGAATTTCGCATTAGCAATTATAGATTCGTTGTACCTTGTCACGTTCAATCATGAAATCATTGCTGTGTTGATCTTAGGTTAATGAATTGCAGGATTGATTCTCTTTACGAAAATATATAATGTAATGTTTTTGTGAAACACGAATGTTGTTCACGCATTATTGTGTTTACTAGCTTTGTCTTGAATGTTCTTGTCTTTGTTCAAGTATTTTACTACTTGTCTAAACTCTAGGGAAGAAAAATGGTGCTGGGTTGTGTATTTATTTGTTCAAACATTCGATGACCTTCCGATGACCTACTTAGTTACCGTAGAACAACGGACATCGATCTTTTTTAGCTTGAGTAGAAGTAATCCTTACATTTGAGACTCAACTTACACGTAAATGTCAATTACAATCGGTATGCACTAACAGCTGGAAAGCATGGACTTGATGGAAGAAAGTGTTGGACAGGTCCTATTCATTACCCTCAACTCCTTATCATCTTTCCAGCAGACCCTCCGCCACTAATCTCGCATATTAGTCCGGCTCCACCGTCGCAAATCTAATTGACGCAGAACCAATTGACCACCACCACCACCGCAGATCCGTTCCACCAACGCCCCTAATACGTTGGAGAGAGGGAGACAATTTTAAGTTTAGCGAGCCAGTTATTTTCTCCCTCCTCCTCGCTAGATTTAGCGAGGAACTGTGCACAATGCAAAACTCCCAGTTAAAATAACTAGCTTATTGAACTTGTGTTTGTGTGAGTTTTGCTCAATTTTTAGTTTAAATAGCCAAAATTCCTCTTTCAACTAGTCTCATCGGAGATGCTCTTACCGTCGAAATCAAGCACTTAATATAATCTTTACAACGTGCCGCGCATCTCATGGCACTTGGACGCTGCCCCCTGCCACATCCAAGCTAATTTCACGTAATAATTCGGCTTGAAAGACAAAATTGCCATCATTTAATTTATTTTGATTGAAAGCTTTAAAAATGTGAGCACATGGAATACTGATCACATCCTGATGTGGAAAGAAAGACGGATAGATATTTAACCAAGACTTATGTTGTAAAATGGAAAATCCAACGAGATACTTTAGATGCAAAAGTAGATGCCCTTAACAAATTGAACTTCAAACTTTATACTAATTCGTTTCTAATTATATTAGAACTTTGCATTCATTTACCAATAAAATTTAAATTACTATTTTTTAAAATCTCTCACCGCTTGAGCTAGCTCAAGCATTTCATATGGTTACCCAATTACAACTCATTGTTCAAACTCGAAAGCCTAAATAACACCTTTGAGTCTTTCGCTAGGCAATCGGTCCCGATATGACGTCATACCTGTTCAGCCAAGAATTTCACTAGGAAAGATCCCTGGCTTGAGCACACAGCTCCCTGAGGAGTTGGCACTTTGGTTGGTTGTCAAGTTCCTTCTTGCTGAGAGGTTGCAAGAGGAGAGCAAAGTTAATTCTAAAAGGTGCCTTTATAGGGCCTTAGGTGTAGGCATTGAAGCTCACAATCAAAACTAGCTAAGTGCTTAGGTGTGCCACTGCCGTCTCAGTATGGCAAATGTAGAACAAGTGTATTTAAGTCGATTACTTGCACCCCAAGTTATTATGACTTCTTGTTATCAAAGGATTGTCGTGGATGGGTTAAGTCTACATTAAGTTCTTTTCTGTGCCTTGAGACCAAGGACTTTTAGTTCATTATCTTGTATGCTTTAAAAGGTGAAATCCAGATCTGGCTTAAGCCATCGATCTAATTCCCATTCATCTTTTATGATAGTAAAACCACTAAGTGAACCAGATCTGAGGACCAATGGAGCTTCTGATCACCAAAAGACTGGAAATAACTTGAATATATATATTGTAGAATACATCATGATGCCAGATCTACTAATGGAAAGACGAAACAAAGAGAGTTGGGCAAGATTTCACCTTGTCGGGCAAGGTTGAACGTCTTGCAGTCTTTTCTCTTTGTGATTACAAAGGGTTGTGTGTTTGGAATGGATGGATGGTATACAAGTTTACATGAGAGAATCGATACTACGCCACTAGGGGTGATAGCAAAGCTTTAATCTAGACAAAAGATGGCTTTTGTAGGGAATGATCCTAAAAAGGATTGAGATCTGGGTTGATTACAGCTTTTAGATGCAAATCTGGCTTGAGAGCAGAGTTTGTATGTTTGTTTGTTTGATTGGTTGAGTGTCCTTGTCTTTGGACCCTGTTTTCCCTTTTATAGCAATGATCTTGGCTGTTGCAAGCTTTGCCTGAAAGCACTTCAGTGAGTCATCACCTTTTTTACATATTCTGCCATTCAGAAAGTACTTTTGGGCTGAGAGTAGGTTGATTTCCATCGGTTGTCACTTCTCTTGTAAGCACCTAACCTTTGCATTAATGAGGGATCGTTATATTGTCTTTGAGATTGATGGATGGGCTTGGTGCTGGGCCTCGGACAAGTCTCATTTCTTTAGTTCTTTTGGGCTTTCTTTCCTTTAAATTCAAAGTCAAAATATTAACCCAAACAACACTGTTCTCCCACTAAAACAAGCGAGTACATGCAGAGGGGACAGGGCAACAGCTGAAGCAGCAGCAGAACATTGTTTTTTTACGTAAAATTTTGACAGAGAATAATAAAACGTTGTTTTTCATCTCTTCAAGGAACGCGAAAAACGCGGGTCCCACAGAAAACGGACCCATTCCAACACCCCCAACCCAAAACCCTCAAAACGGACCTGTTCTTGTTCCTCCTCTTGGGTCATCACTCATCAGGTGTTCCAATTTCTTTTTCCAAATATTAATAAAAAATTCGTTACACAAGTTGACCAACGGCCGCCCCCCAAAACCCGTTATTTGTTTTTTGTTTTGTTTTTGCTCGTCAAACTATGTTTCTTCACTTTTCTGGTTCTGGTTCTGGTTCGGTTTTGTCTAATGACCACCAAACCGCCTGATCGGCAGGCGGTTCAGATGGATGCTTGTCCGACCACGACTTCCTTCTTCCTTGGAGGGACAACGTTGAATCTTTTAGTTTGATTCCGACTAGACACCAGACAATACCAGAAACTCAAACGGTCTGTAATTTTTTCTTTTTTTTTGTCTTCTTTTTGTCTGGTTTTTCTTTTCCTTTCCTTATTCTTTTCAGTTTCCTTAATCTTTGATTTGTTTCCTGTTGATATTGGATTGATCAGATTCTTGGGTCAGGGACAGAATTCGACGTGTAGTGGTGTTCTTCTTGGAATTCCAGCCAGCTCAGCTTGAATTTTGACTCGAGGTACGCTTTTTTTTTTATTAATTTAATGAAAACCCTTTCATTATTTTCAATTTTCTTGATATTTTCCTAATCTCAAATAAAATGGAACAATTTTGGAGTGTTCGAGATTTTTTTTTTTTTTGGTTAAACGACAGATTTTGTTAGTTTAGGTGTTAGATTAGTCACCAACAGACAGTTCGAACCATGTTGTCATGCAATCGCACACTTTTCCAAAGGGACACTTGCGAGGGTTTGGGATTTTGGGTTTTGATGCATGTATGGTTATAAAGTTGTAATTTTGATGATCAAATGTAATTAAACCCCTTGTGTTCGTTTCGTGTTTTGATCGTTGTATTGGCAGAGGATCTTGAGATTTCGATTGGAGTTTGTTTGCTTGATTTCTGTCGGGAAATTTTTTGCCGTGCGAGCCGGAATGGAACAATTCCGGCATATTGGGGAGGTTTTGGGAAGTATGAAGGCTCTGATGATGTTAAGAGATGAGATTCTGATCAATCAATGCCAGTGCTGTTTGTTGCATGATGTGTTCACGTTGGCGTTTGACACGATCGGAGAGGAGATCCTACTGAACCTGAAACTCGAAGAGAAGAAGACGAAATGGAAAGCGCTCGAGCAGCCTCTGAGGGAGCTGCACAGAGTTTTCAAGGAAGGGGAGCTGTACATTCGGCATTGCATGGACGCAAAAAACTGGTGGGGGAAAACAGTCCTCCTCCATCAGAACAAGGACTGCGTCGAATTTCACATTCATAACTTGTTCTGCTACCACACGGCCATGATTGAGGCAATTGAGAATGCTGGAGAGATTGCGGGGCTCGATCAGGAGGAGATGCACAAGAAGAGGATTCTGCTCACAAGGAAGTATGATAGAGAGTGGAATGACCCCAAACTTTTCCAATGGAGATTTGGGAAGCAGTATTTGGTCCCGAAGGCGATCTGCAACAGGTTGGAGAGTGCTTGGAGGGAAGATAGATGGCGGCTTGTCGAAACTCTGAAGGTGAAAAAGATTTCAGGATCCTTTGGTTTGACGAGGAATGAGCAGCAACTTGGAGACTTGCTGCTCAAGAAACTCAGTGGGTCGGAAACCTTAAATGGGAAGCTCTTTCCGAGCTCAATCTTACTGGAATCTGAGTACTACAGCGTTAGGCGGTGGTTAGGAGGAGGAACGCAGTACAAGGAGATCCAGTGGTTGGGGCAGAACTTTGCCATGAGACACTTCTTTGGGGATATTGAGCCGTTGAATTCGGAGATTTCAACTCTCCTCGCACTTTCCCACCCCAATGTGCTGCAGTACCTTTCGGGGTTTTATGATGAGGAGAAGAAGGAATGCTTTCTTGTTATGGAGTTGATGAACAAGGATCTGCGCTGCTACATGAAGGAAAACTGCGGCGCGAGAAGGCAGGTATTGTTTTCAATCCCGGTAGTGGTTGATATCATGCTTCAGATTGCAAGAGGCATGGAATATCTGCACTCTAGGAAGATCTACCATGGGGAGTTGAACCCATTGAATGTCTTTCTCAAGGCAAGGAGCTGCACAGAAGGCTATTTTCAAGTAAAAGTCTCGGGTTTCGGTTTATCATCCGTGCGCAAACCTACTTATCGAAAATCACAGCAGAAGAACGAAATCAACCCTTTGATTTGGTGTGCCCCGGAAGTCCTAGCTGAGCAAGAGCAACCAGGAAACAAAGGTCTTACCAAATACACGGAGAAAGCGGATGTATACAGCTTCGCCATGCTTTGCTTTGAGATCTTGACAGGGAAGGTTCCTTTCGAAGATTCACATCTCCAAGGGGACAAGATGAGCAACACTATAAGAGCAGGAGGGAGGCCTCTCTTCCCCTACCCTTCACCAAAATACCTCGTCAATTTAACCAAGAGATGCTGGCACAGTGACCCGTCTCAGCGCCTGAGCTTCTCGTCCATCTGTCGCGTTTTGCGCTACATAAAGAAGTTCCTTACTCTGAACCCCTATGACGATCAGCCTTTACTGCAATCCCCTCCTATGGATTACTGCGAGATAGAGTCATGGTTCCTGAAGAATAGTTCAGCTGCCGAATACGCCGATTTATCCTCAATATCGCAACTTCCATTCCAAATGTTCTCTTACCGGCTAGGGGAGAAGGAAAAGACTAGCCCAGACATCGTGAGGGTTAGGAGTCTGGATTCCTTAAGTGATACAGCATCAGCGATTTGCAAGCAAAAATCTCCAAACGGCAAAGTTGACACTGTGTCCATTTCAGAAGATCCATTCGTACCACTAAGCGAATCGAGGTCCGTTTGCTCTGATGTGTGGTCTGTTCATGATCTGAGGTCAGTTTCTTCCGAGGCTCCAATGCAAAGAACTCTCACTGCCAAGAAACGTCAAGACGCGACAGCTAGAAAAGCCTCAGGTCAGCCAATAATTTCACCTTAATCCATTTCTTTACAATCAGCTGATTACTTTTTTAAGCCAGGGGGTTCTGTACTTTCTCCGTTAACAATCTTGACTGGGAAAATGTTGATCAGGTTACACTGGGACATCAAAAACACCAACCACAGGAAGGACGTCAACACAAAGACTTTCAACACCAAGACTTGCGTCGCCAAGATTTCCATCGCCAAAACTTGCTTCACCGAAACTTCCACCTGCAAAACCATGTCAACGCAGTATGAAGACAAACCAAAGCCCTCCACCGCCAAGTCCTATGAACACAAAGAGTAGTGCGAGCCGAAGCAGGCACAGAACGAGGGGGCACGTTTCGGACTCGGAGATACATTAGGCTTTCTTTTGTTTCACATCACATACATGACACCAGAAACTTGCAGGCGTCGAATAGAGTTTAGCAAACAGTAAAAAAAAAATCCACGATACATATTGTCAAGTACAGATCAGTTTTTGTTCCCTTCCATTTAACTAAAAATCTCCGTAAATTTAAATTTCTTACTGTTATAGGTCCATTAGGTTTGAAGATCTTATAGTAAAGTTTTTTCGTTTTCAGTTTTTATGTTCTCGCATGGCATTTATATGAACGTAATTCCGCATCCGCATAGTCTTTCATGCAACTTGTTCTCTATATATTTTTCTCTTTTTGCACACTCCTGTTTATTTCCTATTCCACTTTGATTTATTCTCTCAAAAACCGGAAATAAACAAGGGTGTGACGGGGAAAAAGGGTCGTGAGGAAATCACGACATGAAGAATGTGGTTTCTCATTCAAGTTACAATTCAGCGTATCATAGATGCAAGATAAAATTAAAAGGACGCAATCCATACCTTTATCAAGATGTTTGGCTATGGTTCACAGATGACATAAATTTAAACTGCAAGATAAAATCGCGCAATCGCATATGAGATACAAACTCAATTCTGTGGTCTCCCAAAAACGACTGTCCTATAAATCTGGTCGCCGAAGAGTTCACGATAGATGAACCCTATTTTCTACACTCTACTGAAAACAACTCAACTGAGATCGCCTTCGTTGGAAGTGTTACAAATGCTTTTCGGATGTTTTTCTCAACAAGCAGCTACTCTAAATGAATAGCGTAATATTGAACATATATTCTGACCTAAATAGCTGACCACATTATCTGATAGCTAGTGTGAAAATGATTGACAAAGCTGTTCCAAGAATATATGTTAATCTGCAACCTGCTTCCCCTGATTTCACATTCGGTCAAAATTTAAAAGTTTTGAAGCCGAGTACCCCAAACAAATCCTCAAATCTCCTTTATTCATTGCAATACGACACTGTTTAAACCTTGTCAGCTCTCGTGCTGGTATGACAATCTTCAGATTTGAAGATTCAAAATGTTTTCATAACCAGCTGATGTCCTTCAGATACTATATTTTGCAGCTAATTTGTACGACATCAGTCATTCAGTCGGTTTGGCACCTATCAAACAAGGATGTGGCTAGAACCCGAGGTTCTCAGTTCCATCTTACTTTCTAAGGTTTCTCCGTATGAACTTACAATTTCAACTTTATAGTGGGCCACCAGAAGAAAACTCTAGAAGGTTTCAAAAGGATAATGACCTCTTAATTGATGTGAAAGGAGTTACCTTTTCCTTAAACAATCTGCAACACTTTTATACACCCGTCTGAATTGGCAGCAACCACCATGTCTGATTTCCCTCTCCAGAAGACACTCGAAACCCATTGTGCACTATAATCATCGGTCTCCTTTCCAGAAATAGGATCAATGGAGCCAAACTTGTGTGAAGTGATTGGCATAGGCAGAGATCTATGGTAAGCATAAACCTGGAAGATATCAACACAAAAGGTTAAAGCAGTTGATTAGATTATGATTAGACTGTATATCTCGCACAAGCACTGTCTAGAAGTTACCAGCTCATCTTCAATATTTCCTTTTACCTTTTTTTTATTTTTGGTTTAATATTTCCCTATAACTCAACTGGAGGCCCATTCATTCTTCATTTTATTAATACAAGTACCATGTAGCATGGGGATTAAATATGCACCTCATTTGTTTCTGAACGACAAGCTATGTAACCATCTGAAACGGATAACGCGACAAAGTTCTGGGTGAGTAAGCATCCAAAGTGTGACCAACTGAGAAAAAAAAACATAAACTTGGTCAAACAGTTATAATGTAGTTAGAGCAAGTGTTATCTAGATCTCAAAATCGCACAGAAATAGAAATAGGTTCTAGCATAAAGAGCCAATAAAAAAATTAGTGGGGTAGCCAACCTTCTCATTGGTGTGCCCACCAAGGCTTAGGCTGCAAGCATCGGTGGATGGATCACTCATACTGGTTTTGCTAAGATCCCATATCTTTAATGTGTTGTCAGTGGATGCAGAAACAAGGGTCTCTGAGTCCAAAAATTTCACATAGCTTACAGCTTTCTTATGCCCATCCAATACGCACCACGGAATTTTAGTATTATGAAGATCATAGCAGTAGGTGTAGTAGTCCGCACTCCCGAAGGCCAGAAAATGAGAGGAGTGAGAAGAGAACTGTACACAGCATACATTTGCAGCGTGCTTAATGGTATCTAAACTGTTTCTCTGAAAAGAACCATCCCCCCAAAAAAGGGATTTCAGAAGCATCACAGACCAAGCCCTCATTGCATGCTCAGTGTATTGAGCAAACTCTTGACCAGTGCTGGCATCCCATAACTGGATATCAATAAAGTATATATTACGTTATATGCAATGCAAGTATTAATTAAAAATAAGGGCAAGCAATAGTCACTTATTAGACAATATATTGGAGAAAAATGAGCCACAAACAAATCCATGAGAAAAGACAAGGATAGACAAAGCTTAAATAGTCATAGATCTCTATTAGACTACTTCTGTGACACATATATCAAAAGGATGAACATGCAGACACTATCAGGTCAACATTCAGACAGCACTATTTTTTTTCGGGTGAGGATCCCGGGGATCCTCAAATCACATCCGTCCATCATACATCGTGCAGTCAGAAATTATTGTAAATTTTTTTATTTAAAATTGAATATAAACAAAACCTGACAATACTGGTCGCACGATGTACGATGAACGGATATGATTGAAAGATCCCCGGAATCTTCACAAAGAGGATCCGGCGAAGATCCTTTCTCTTTTTTTTTTTTCAGTAACACAAAACAGTCAATATGTCACAGGATATACAGACCTTGATTACACCATAATCAGATGAAGCCAGATTGTTTTTTATATAGTTGTTCCAGCAAACACAGCTGATCCTTGATTTGATTGACATCTCAATCACTGGATAATGAATATCAGCAGGATCATTGAAGAAAGCATTAAACTCAAAAATCTTAATTTTCATTGAAACCCTGGCAGTAGCAAAATAGTCTTCATTCCGATCAAAACTCATAGAGGAAATTACTTTAGAGGAACTGCTGAAATCTCCATTTCTTAGTATGCCATGTACTTCAAACTTACTATACCGAGCATATTTACACAAACCATCAAAGATGGCTCCCAGTCGATCAGTGCATATCTCCTTGTCTTAATCCTTTGTTCCCACATACCAATTATTGCGAGTTCTTAATAAATCTTTATCGCTGCGTATTCTAGAATCAGTCCCAGGAATCTGAATTCTTGATCTCATCAGCTGTGTTTGTCATGAATTGCTTGTCAACTTACTTCCCAAACTTATATAGGGTTGTTAATTTTCACTTGGAACTTTAATTTTAGCAGATTACTCTCTGAACTTTTATAAATAACTAATTTTCTCGACTCTAGATTTTGAAATTCTTTATCTTGGTCATGCAGACAATACATGACAATTGTATGAGGTCAAAAACATAATTTTGTTTTGGTAAATTATGCTCAAGGGCAATACTTTGTAGCTGCTAGTATATGAAGTCAACAAGCGGGAAGAGAAGAAGAAAAAAGTAAAATGATGTCCACATTAGGGTTAAATTACAGTACTGCCCTTGAATATTTGTCATGTAATCAAAATAGATAGAAAATTAGATAAAAAACTCAACAATCTAACATCTGGAAAACTGGCTAATTATATAAATTAGGAGGATAATCGGTTAAAATTAAAGTTAAAAGTTTAGAATATAAATTAGCAACTCCTTAATCCATAAACATGCCTCTTGTTACAAAGATAATTTTATCCTGAAAAACTGATGTAGACCATGACATATAAATTCAGTCTCAAATTTGATACCTGAAAGAGTCGAACTAAAATTTGACGAATTATGTGTTGAACTGAATATCTTATGATTGAGCTAGCATTAACCTCTTTGCCCACGAAGCGGAGGTAAAAGAATTAAAAACCAAACCGTGATGCTATAGCGAAACTTTATGCGCGCATCTCCTCCAATCCCCTTCGGATCCTCCACGAGCCCCTCTACGAGCGCTCCATTCCCCCTGTTTCCCAATTCCTCTAGTTTCAAAACCCTAACGGCTATTCCCTCTCGTCTCTCCGGCGATCCCGCGCTCTGAAACTGCGAGATTTCTTCTCCGAAATCCAGGTAAAACTCCAATCCGTGATAAAATTCTCCGATTCCAGTTTGTTCTAAAATATCAAGTTTCAGTAATTCCAGGTTAAAACTTTGAAATTACTTGTTTCCAGGCGAGAAAAACCTAGCCATGGGCTCCTACAAGGACGCAGACCCATCCCTAGGGTTCCTAACCCGAAAGGACACCGAGGTCAAGCTCCCACGACCAACTAGGGTTAAGAACAAAACCCCAGCCCCTGTACAAATCACCGCCGAGCAAATTCTTCGGGAGGCTCGTGAGCGTCAGGAGGCTGAAATCCGACCTCCCAAACAGAAGATCACTGATCCCACTGAGCTTGCTGATTACCGCCTCCGTAAGCGCAAGGAATTTGAGGACCTAATCCGGCGTGTGAGGTGGAATGTCAGTGTATGGATCAAGTATGCGCAATGGGAGGAGTCCCAGAAGGACTTCAAGCGTGCTCGCTCTGTTTGGGAGCGTGCTCTTGAGGTCGATTATCGGAACCACACCCTGTGGCTTAAGTATGCTGAGGTGGAGATGAAGAACAAGTTCATTAACCATGCGAGAAACGTGTGGGACCGTGCGGTCACACTCTTGCCCAGAGTTGACCAGCTCTGGTACAAGTACATTCACATGGAAGAGATTATAGGGAATGTGGCCGGTGCTCGACAGATATACGAGAGGTGGATGAATTGGATGCCGGACCAGCAAGGTTGGCTCTCCTTCATCAAGTTTGAGCTTCGCTATAATGAAGTGGAGCGTGCTAGAGCAATTTTTGAGCGGTTTGTGCAATGTCATCCAAAAGTTGGTGCGTGGATTCGGTTTGCCAAATTTGAGATGAAGAATGGTGAGGTTGTGAGGGCGAGAAATGTGTATGAGAGAGCAGTGGAGATTCTAGCCGATGACGAGGAGGCTGAGCAGTTATTTGTGGCTTTCGCTGAATTCGAAGAGCGGTGCAAAGAAACTGATCGAGCAAGGTGTATTTATAAGTTTGCACTTGATCATATTCCCAAAGGAAGGGCCGATGACTTGTATAAGAAGTTTGTGGGTTTCGAGAAGCAGTATGGAGATAGACAAGGCATTGAGGATGCAATTGTGGGAAAGAGGAGGTTTCAGTATGAGGATGAGGTTCGGAAGAACCCTCTTAATTATGATGCGTGGTTTGATTATATAAGGCTAGAAGAGAGTGCAGGGAATAAGGATAGAATTAGAGAAATTTATGAGCGAGCAATTGCTAATGTTCCTCCGGCTCAGGAGAAGCGATATTGGCAACGATACATTTATTTATGGTATGTGGTACACATACTAAGCCTCGGTTAATTAGCTACTCTGCTTATGCTTTGACTTTGATGTAGCTTCATTTGTTTGAATAATTATTGCTGATTGTTTGTTTCTTTTGCAATTTTAGGATTAACTATGCACTCTACGAGGAGCTTGATGCTTCAGACATGGAGCGTACACGAGATGTGTATAAGTATGCCTCATTTTGTTAGCCTATGGTTTTGTTGATGTACCTGAAGATTGTTTTGTTCTTGCCATATTTTACCTTAACTACTATTCAAGTCAATAATGATACGTGACTACTTACGTGTAAAATTGAAAATAAATCTTGTTCAGCTTTCTCAGTACATGAATTGCTATAGTGCACTGGGACTAATTATTTATTTATTTTTTATAACTGAATGTATATGAGGATATGCTTGAAAACTATTACCTGTAGAAAACCAATGTTTTATTTGAGCAATTTGGGTATAAAGTTGTATTTTTGGTGTTCTTATATTATATGTATAGTTTATCATGACAGTGGACTGATGAGCTTTCAGTTTTTTCTTTGTAAGGCATGATTTGTTGTTAGTTTTTTAAACATTTTTTGTTGCACAACTAATTTGATGGTTTACAATTTGGAGTTTTTGCAATGCATATTGCCGTTATTTGGTGAAAATATTCATGCAAATTAAAACACAGGTTCACTGTATAAGTTTACATTTGTTACCTTTGACATAGTTGGCACGTGGACACGTCCTGAATACTTTGAACAGATTTCTCACTATACTAGAAATTTTTCCAGGGAGTGCCTTAATCTGATTCCTCACCAGAAGTTTTCGTTTGCAAAAATATGGCTCCTTGCCGCCCAGTTTGAAATACGGCAGCTGAATCTCAAGGGTGCACGAATGATCCTTGGCAATGCAATAGGCAAGGCACCTAAAGATAAGGTAAGGTATATTCAGCAAATACATATACTCATTTTAACAATGCCCATTCAACAAGTCAAAATTTATAGTTAATATTTATAATATGCTTCCTTAAAACAGATATTTAAGAAGTATATTGAGATCGAGCTGAACCTTGGGAATATGGATCGATGTCGGAAGTTGTACGAAAAGTATCTGGAGTGGTCCCCAGAAAATTGTTATGCGTGGACCAAGTATGCAGAGTTAGAGCAATCTTTATGCGAGACAGAACGAACCAGGTCGCTTTTTGAACTTGCGATTGCCCAACCATCACTTGACATGCCTGAGTTGTTGTGGAAGGTAAGACATGGGGACATCCTTCTTTCTAATACACCTTTTGTTGTTTGAATTTTGATAGTTTCTTGTGGAATATATTAATCTTTCTTGCACTTTTATGTTCTTCTATGATGTTTCATTACATATAACATAATATGTCATGGATGTTAGTTGCACCAGTGCCTAGTTATAGTTCTTGACTTGCAAAACTTGAATTGGAAGAAATAACAGAAGCAACACCTTGCAAAATACCTATTATTCTCAGTTGTATCGAAGTTTTTTTGGTCCTTTATAACCTATCTACTGATTGATTTGTGTCTAAAGCTTAGTTTTTGATGCAGAGAACATGTTCCTAGCTTCTCAACGTAGCAACTGTGAACCTGTTCTAGAAAATCTTTGAAAAATATTAATTTGTTGGCTAAGGTTGATGTTACTAGTTTATGCAGTACAGGTTCAGATGACAACATAACATTTGTTACTAATTTGATTGATAATTGACAACAGGCATACATTGACTTTGAAATATCAGAGGGTGAATTTGAGAGAACTAGAGAACTTTACGAGAGACTCCTAGACCGAACAAAACACCTAAAGGTGTGGATCAGTTATGCGAAATTTGAGGCATCTGCTATAGTGGAAGATGGTGTGGATTCAGATATGGCCGAAGACCAAGCCCAGGATTATCTTCTTGAACAGAAGAAACAATGTCTTCTCCGTGCTCGAAGTAAGCAGTTAATGGATAGAATAGTAATTGAGAGTTGGCTAATCTATATTCTTTTACAGTTGAAAATATCTCACCCTTGTTTTTTTTTTTTTTCTCTGTACATCAGGGGTTTTTGAGAAAGCTGTTAACTACTTTAGAACTTCAGCACCTGAGTTGAAGGAAGAAAGAGGTATGTTGCTCGAAGAGTGGTTGAACATGGAGGCGAGCTTTGGAGATTTGGGTGATGTTAGCTTAGTCCAATCTAAGCTTCCAAAGAAACTGAAGAAGAGGAGGCCAATAATGACTGAAGACGGCCCTGCTGGGTATGTGATCAACTCTCATGTCATTTTATGTTCTTAACTTTTTATATTCGTTTCTCATTTATTCATCTCGGTGTAGAGAATCCTTTATACTGAAAAATGGAGTGTAGCTTTGATCTTCTTGTGTTGGTTCCATTTGGTGAGTTCATTTAGTTTTCCATATGTTAACCGATCTTTGTTGAGACTTTGGCAGGTACGAGGAATATATTGATTACATGTTCCCGGAGGAAGCTCAGACGACAAATCTCAAGATATTGGAAGCTGCCTACAAGTGGAAGAGGCAAAAGGTGTCTTCTGATGAGGACTAGTAAGTTTTTGCACCTTGTAGTTTCCTCTACTGTGTAAATACAGAGAAAAGTGTTGTATTGCTTGGCTAATGATCATCTTGATTTTGAGAAACCATGCTCGATGGTAATGTCTAACGAAACTTGTTTTAATCGACAAATATGTCCTCGTGGCTTGAGATTTTGCAATTCATTTCGGGATACAAGTACTTGTTCTTGGGCTATACCCTTGCACACATTGTTTTCTACTTTGGCCGGATAGTTTGCAATTCCTTTCATGTTCCAAGCTCCTTGGTAATTTTCCTGCTGTGGTGTTATCTGTGCACTTGAAGAAAAGCGATCTTCCATTATTCGCTCATGGTATAACACGTGGATTATTAACATCAATTGTATCTTTGTAACTTTCTGAATTTTGTAAACCGAACCCAGCCTTAGTAGCTTTTCTATTGTCGTTAACAGCAATTTTTATTTTTATTTTTTAAATAACACTTTTTATTTGTTTTGCCAAACACATTTGATGTTCTAGATTTTTTAAGGCTTTTATATTAGCACTCCACAAAATATTGAATGCACCCCACATTAAAATTTAATATTAAATGACTTATTTACCCTTTTTCTATGGCCCATCATGGTGCGCCATTGGCATTGTTTTGATCCAGTGTGACGTGTCCATTTACATTTTTTAATTCAACAGCTCAAATTCAATTTAATTAATTTCTTATAATAAAAAAATCAAGCGGTCAAAATAATATTATTAATTAATCCAAATCTCATCCAACACTAAAACTCCTCTAGTACACTACAAATACACACTGATTTACCTTAAAGTTTTTACATGAAAATGTCTGTAAAAATAAAATAAGATAGATGATATAAATACTAATTCAAAATTATTAGCAAAAAAAAAAAAAAAAAAGTCAAATACAAAAGTTGAACAAACTATAAAGTTTGGGGGAGAATTATAGGCCCCTTACTGTTGAAAGAAAAAACTGCCTAACCTTATACGTATAGATGGATAGTTGAAAATACAGAACTAAACTTTGATATTTTTCACCATTGGTTTGAAGATGGTTTAACGGATATTCTCCTTTTCTGGAATTTTCTTTTTCTTTTAATTGGCATTGAATTCTTGCTAAGGTCCTTGATCAAGGCATTTGATGCAAGGAATAAATTTGGGAATTTAACAAAAAGCTTCTGGTGTTGTTCATTTTAACGAAAAATCACATTTTTACACTAAAAAGTCAATCCTGATACTATTCACTTTATCTTTTATTTTATCTTTATCGTTAAAACTCAAAATATATATTTCTTTTTGCTGATAGAAATAAATAAATGACTTGAATTTTAGAAAAGTTGAAGAACGGATTTTTAGGCAGCAAGATAAGGTTACAGTTGAGATTTAAATATAGAAACGGCTTTGAGTTTTGCTAATTTAGGATTTTTCTTTATGCCTTTGTGCTGACGGTGGAAAATAGTTGCAGAGGGGGAGGGAGAAGAGAGGCTGTGAACAAAATAAAGGGAAGAAATACAATTTTCGACTCACACATGAGAGTTACGTGCATGCTATTAATAGAGGGTCTTCAATACGATCGATATTTTCAGCAGATATCGTCGATATTTCTGACTCATATGTAAATATTGGAAAAACTCTTGTATTTCATCTAAACCAATATTTAACAATTCTTAAAATTTCATTTTAAATTTCCTTCATCTCCATTGAAAGCAACCAATATCGATATTGATATTCAATACATCTACCGATATTTCTCTAAATTTACACATTAATATTTCCAACAATACTGATATTTTGCGTGTACCTCATAATGCACAAGTGTTAGCATCTCGCTCTTTTTGTTCCCGAGATAGCGCGAATCTGAGACGTTGATTTCCATTGGCTTATTATTGTAATATTTAGAAAATCAAAAGGTATTTCCATTACCAGAAGTGCCAATTTTTGGTTCTCCAGGTAGGCAGGACACCCAAATGACCAGTAAAGAAAACCAAGGAAATTACAGTTATTTCCCTTTTTCAAGTTTCACCTCCCAAAATCCTGCTTTTCTTTTTCTTTATTTTTTGGTTTTTGAGAAAAAAGATCTTAAATTCTGCTCCAGTTGCAATCAAATATTTCTTTTGGATCCTCTGAGCTCATATAAAAATTGATTGGCTTGGTGAAAATGGCATTCGATTTGCAGGTAATTTTTTTGGGTAAATTCTTGAAGATAATTTTGTTTTTACTGCATGATTTGCTTTAAAGATTTACTAGTTCCAATTCCATAAATTTTTTTATTTAGTTTTATTTTACATTCTGAGATGAGCTAAGAAATATTATTCAATTATTCAAATACCTCAAAGCTTGCGCCTTATTGATCCAATAATTGTTTATAAAATAGGAGATTTCAAGAGAAGAAGAAAAAAAATTCCATTTCTTATTTCTCTCTGATGTGTTTCCATCATTTACTTATTGTTTTTCTCTGTTTACGTAATTCAGATAAATTTAGTATAATTATCGTAGCGTTTGTCTTATAAAAACAAATGAAATGTAACATCAACAAATAAGGTTTCTCATTGTCTAATTTGAGAAAAAAAAAAAAAAAAAAACTTAAAATTTGGCAAATTTAAGAGCAAGTAGGAAGTGGTAAGCAACCAACCCTACATTTAATTGAAGCCTTTATGAAAAAGGGGTTTAAGCCCTTTTGGTATGGCAATAGCTAGGTAAGAGGTGTCACCTTTCTATATGTAAATTAAGGGAAATGCGATCTTGAATTAGTGGCCAAATCCTTAGGAGCAACTCTTTCTTTCTTTGTTTTTTGTTGGGCAATGTAAAGGTTGTTCTCAAATGTCATTTTAGTAAAGGTTATTCTCAAATGTCATTCTATGGTTTATGTATGTACATAATGTTTTTTTTTTGCAAAACGAAGACACGTTGAGAAAATCTCACTTCTACCCTTCAACTTTGATTGTTTCAGGGGATAGAAGGATCATTTCGAGTTAGACAATAGGTTTTGAGACTTGAATTGGTTAATCGCTTCAATTTTAGGTTTGAATGCAAAAGTATCAAAGTTGAAGAAAATTGAGTATAGATTTCTAGTTTTGGATTGTTGAATCGCTTCGAATTTAGGTTTACGATATAAAGGACCTCCTATGCCCTAAATAATCAGCTTTGCAATTTAAGGATGGAATCGAAGTTGAAGAAAATTGAGTAGCAATGAGGTTTTCCAATGCGCTCTACTCCAAAAATCTCTGTATGTATCTTAAACTAGGGCATATACATTATCAAGAAAAGTTTAATGTGATTTTATTCTTGTTTCCGTCTTTAGTCTTTAGTTTATTTTTTACTTACTAAATTTTCAGTCCAACCTTTTCATTACGATTGCCGGCACCACTTGATGAAATTGATGCTACAACTTTCATTCAATAAAAGAAATAATTAATGAAAACTTGACGAATCGCCAACCGATAGAAATCCTTGTCATGGTAATGAAATAATTATTCATAAATATTTCTCTGTCAATCTTAATTTCTAATCACAACGTACACTCTTTGTAAGAGAATTCTATTTCTTGGATTTTCGATACGGAGTATGAATCTTTCTTTCCCTTTTTGACTTGATGAGATTTTTTATTTCTTGTTAATCTTGTTCTTGTTTGATTTTCAGGTCTTCGATATGCCTCGCTCAAGACGAATGGAGGCTTGTGTTTATGTGTGGTGATTTATGAGTATTTACTGAAATATTCAAAATCGAGATGATAAAGCATCGCTGGAGGGAGATAGCTAAGTCCTTTAACAATCATGTTGATCCTGAAAAAACTGAGCAGCTGAAGAGGACTAAAACAGGTCCAAATTTCTCTCCTCTCAACCCTTGATCTTCGATTAAAATGCCAGTCACTCATTCGATCGGTGAATCTTGAAACAATAGCCCTTATTTTCATGGCATTCATAAATTTCAGTTTCTGCAATACCATGAAAAGGATCAATAGCTGAGTACAATTTATAAAATTGATTGTCTTCTTTTTGTGCTCATGTGATCTTGCAAGCCTTGTTACTTGTTAGTATTTCTTGTTCAAATGTATGGCATCAGTTCTTTTGTAAATTTCCAAAACTGCATTCTAGCATATAAATTTATGTCATTTTGCTTGTTACCCAAGGAAACCATTAAAAATTGTTACCCTAAATATTTTGCGGTAATATGTTATTCTTCACCGTTGCCACTTCATTTGATGTTAGAGTTATTTTTCTTAGAGAATTTGTGTTATCTGCAGAAATTGAAAATAATGTGACGAGGATCTTCAAGCTTATAAAAAACGAAGACCTAGGGAAGAAAGATGGAAACCGAAAAGATTTGAAGAAGGAGTCAGAACTTGTTGCGCTCATTGAGAACTTTTACGAACAGTACCAGTCACTATATGCTTTGTATGATCATCTTGTAGGAGAGTCTGGGAGAATCGTTCGTGGCAAGAAAGAGCGAAAAGGTTTTTCCATGTCTCCCTCCAGCTCAGATTCCGAGTACTATTCTTCAGAAGACATTGAAGGTAACAATGCCAGATTGGAAAGATCTGACAGCATCAAGCATGAACTCAAAAATGAACATTCGGAAGGCTCTGGTGATCTAAAGCGAAAGTCAGTATATGGAAATGGAGAAAAGGAAGCAATAAATTCAGAATATTTGGCAGCATTGAGAAAACTAAAACAAGCAGAGATTGTAGACAATGATTTGAAGGATGAAGTTGATGAAAAAGTAAAGGAACTTTCAGCTCTTGTCGAAGCTCACGAGGCTCATGGGAATCATTCATCAGCTCGAGTAAAAGAGTTGGAGGGACAGTTAACTGGTTTTAAAATGGAGTTGGAATCCTTGTGCAGCCAGAAACGAGATTTGGAAGCATGGAAGGAAGGTAAATCTGCTGAAGCTAAACAGCTAGGAGATAAAAATATTGGATTACATGCGCGCATTTTGGAACTTGAGTTAGTTTTAAAAGAAAGAGATGATGAAATATCTGATCTCAAGAACAAACTCAAGGGAAATGAGGAGAGCTCAGTATCAAAAATTTCAGAATTGATGACACAGGCCGAAAATATGCAACAGGAAGTTGATTCGTTGTGTTTGCAAAAAGGTGAACAGGAGAAAAAGATGGTGAGTAAAAAGAATGAATCAGTAGCGCAAGTCAAGGGCTTAAGCGAGCAGGTCAATGCAATGCAGAAGGAATTGAAGATCATTCGCCAGCAAAAAACTGAATTAGAAACGCAACTGGATAAGAAGAACAAAGAAATCTCCAAGCATCTGCAACAAATGGAAAATCTAAAGCACGAGTTAACAAAAAGGGACACAGTTGAGAAGAAAATGATGGAAGAAAAAGAATATTTTATCGCGAAGGTGAAGGACTTGGAATCAGAAGTGAACTCTCTACGCAATAAAAAGAAGAATTTGGAAAAGCAGATTAAAAACAGAAACCATGAGAACAACAGGTTGAGACAAGAAAATGAGATTCTCATTTCTAGAAGTTTTGGGTTGGAGGGAACGTTGACTGAGAGAGGGGATGAGATTTACGCTCTTCGTGAAGAATGCGAGAATGGAAATATTGAAGCTTCTGCTCAACTTATGAAATTCACGACGCAGGTAAGCAATTTGAAACAAGAAATGGATTCCTTGCAGGCTCAGAAAAGCCAGTTGGATTTGCAGATTGAGATACAAAACAAGCACTATTTGAACAAACTGACTGAAATGGAAAATCGAAACGATAACTTGACAGACACGATTGGCCGGATTGAGAGAGAGAACCAAAAGTATTTGGAAATACTGAGTGAGAAGGAAAATCAAAACCATAACTTGACAGTCAAGATTTCCGATCAGCAGATGATTATTAAGGAACATGAAGAAACTATGAAGAAGTTCAACAAGGAGCATAAACAAGCTAAAATTTGGTTTTCGGAATCCAAGTTAAATGTACGATTTGTCGAAAGGAAGATGGAAGAATTGGCAGAGAAGTATAGAATCAATCTTGAAGATAGCGTGCGCCTCTTATATCAGAGAATCAGGGTAGCAGAACAAATACACAATGAAAACAAGGAAAGCCACAAGAAGTTCAAAGAGATGTACGAGAAAGAAAACGAAGATCTTAAAGAAAAGCTAGCAACGTATCAAGATCCGGACACAAAGTTGAAGCAAATATCGAAAATAGCAAAATGTACATTGCTTGAATTGGACTTAGTGATGCTTAAATTTGAGGAGGGACACAAGAACTTTGAAAATCGGATTGTGAAAATGACGGAGGAGCTTGAGTCTGCAAAAACTTGGGTTAGCGAGAATGCTGGCGTGATCAAACGTTTAAAGCACAACGTAGATTTCTTAACCACACAAATGAATGAAAAGGAAGAGCAGGAGAGTGTGTTGAGAGAAAAAGTTTGGAAGTTGGAAGCGTCCGTGGGCAAGGAAGCTGGGGAGAGGCTGAACTTAGTAAAAGGGTTAAGCCAACTAGAGAGTCAGGTGGCAAATCTTGAGAAAGAAGTAAAGGACAAGGATGAAGACTTACTGAGTCTTAGGGAGGAGAAGAGGGAGGCCATACGGCAGCTCTGCGTGTTGATCGATCATCACCGGAGCCGCTATGATGATCTGAAGGAAGCAGTGTCAAAGAGGTCAGCTGCAACAGCTGCCAGAGGCAGGATTGCAATTTAGGCCTCTGTTATGGCCATTGATTTGATAAAGTTTGTTTCACATTATAGACTCTTTTCGATTATTTCTTCTTTCTTTTTGTATAGAACAAGTGATGTGTTGCTCATAAGGGCATTTCATCATCCATGATATACATTAAATTCCTGGGTTGTATACACGTAAATATAATTTTGCATCGTTTTTTAGGTAATTAAAAATGAAAAGAAATGCTAACACTACATAAATGTAAGAGAGAAGAGAGATGAACACTTTTAGAGAGAGAAATTAGAATCTGATCTTTATATTCGACTTAGTACAAATGAATTACAATCTGTCATTTTATATCTCAAGTTAGTCAGCTACAGTGCTAATTAACTCTCAACAGGTTCTAACAATCCTAATAGACTTTGTTGATATGGCTATGCTGATGTGGCTGCTGACATGTCATTCTAACATCCCCCCTCAATCTCAGCTGGGATTTCCAAGCTGGAGATTGTAGCAATGTCGAATAAATGCAGGACTGTGAAGACCTTTGGTTAAAACATCAGCAGTTTGCTCATCTATAGGAATGTATCTTACTTTCAAATCACCTCTTTGAACTCTCTCACGAACAAAATGATAATCCGTATCTAAATGTTTAATCTATGAATGGAAGACAGGAATAGCACTCAAAACTATAGTGGACATGTTATCACAGTGAATCACTGGGGTTGTGAACAAACCAACACCTAATCCTTCAAAATATTTATCACCCAAGCAACATCTGCTGTGGTATGTGCTAAAGCTTTATATTCAGCTTCAATAGAATTTTTGGAAACTGAATTTTGTCATTTTGACTGCCAAGATATCGGATTGTTACCCAAAAACACAACATATCCAGTAACTGATCTTCTAGTATTAAGATTAGTAGCCTAATCCGAGTCTGAAAAGGCATTAATGTCAAGTATAGTGTCTGAAGAATACAAAACCCCATGTTGACTTGTGCCCTAAAGATATCTCAGTATTCGTTTAAAAGATGCAAAGTGCAATTCTGTTGGGGAAGACATAAATTGGCACATTGAGTTAACTGCATATGCAATATTTGGCCTTGTGAAGGTCAGATATTGTAATGAACCAACCAGACTTCTATATAATGTAGGATCCGTCAAAACAGTACCTTCTGCATTAAGTAATTATTGATGTGGCTTACATGGAGTTGTTGCAGGTTTGCAAGAGTCCATACCTGCCTTGTGAATCAAGTCTTTAATATATTTAGAATGATTCACAAATATATCTCCATTGTTCTTGTAGTGAATTTGCAATCCTAAGAAATAGATCAATTTACCCAAATCTTTGAGCTCAAAGACAGAAGACAACTCTTGAATAACTTGTTGAACTTTTGAAGGATTTGAACCTGTGAGAATAATGTCATCCACATAAAGCAACAGAAATATCATATCTGAGCCATCTATTTTGAAAAGAAGCTTGTATCAGATGGTGAAGCAACAAATTGAAGGGCTTCCAAATAACTAGTAAACTTGGAATTCCATGCTTGTGAGGCTTGCTTCAATCCATATAAGGATTTGATTAACTTGCATACATAGGTAGGATGAGATGCATCTACAAAACCTTGAGGTTGTTTCATAAACACCTATTTTTGTAAGTCACCATCCAGAAATGCATTCTTGATATCAAGTTGTCTCAAGTTCAAATGCTTTATTGCAGCCAAGGCTAGAATCATTCTAACAGTGGTATGCCTTACCACAGGACTGAAAGTGTCTAAATAGTTAATACCATGCTCATGTGTAAACCCCTAAGTTACAAACCTAGCTCTATACCTGGCAATACTCCCATCTAGATTCTTTTTAACCTTATACACCCATTTACTTCCAACAATAGCCCTATTTTTTGGAGATGGTACTAAAATCCAAGTGCCCTGTGCTTAAAGTGAGTCATATTCCTCTTGCATTGCTACCTGCCATTGAGGCAATGTTGTAGCTTTTCGAAATAATGAAGGTTCTGAAGTATCAATAATCTCAAACAGAAAGGAATACCCTCCAACAAATAGTTCATCCTAAGTAAGTTGAAGAGAATGTAATTCAAGACATAATGCAATCAATGATGCATAATTCTTTCTAGGTATAGTGCCACTCTTTAATCTAGTTGTCATCGAATGTGGAATTAACTCATTGGCTGAAGATGAATTGGATTGTGGAGAAACAAGAAGAATTACATCAAGTTGTGTGGATGAATGGACAAGCAACATTGATGATGTACTAGAGTGATGATAGGGTGAATGATGATGGTGTTGTATCTCTGAAGATTCTGCATTAATGCTTGAAATACACTGTTGTGAATCTGGTGTCTGCTCAATATCGTTCAGATCAGAAATATGATTATTTGGCACTAAAGTGTTGGTGGAGTCACTATGAATCACTGTACAAACCTCTTGCAAACTCTGTCTAGTTCCTGTTGAACTTCCAACTGCATTAGGTGAGTGAACTATAACATGAGAATGCGGTGCTGGTGTATGCCTGCAAAATACTTTTGGAACTAGATTGACATAAGAGTTGAAAAGGAAACACATCTTCATCATGTATCACATGTCTAGAGATAATGAATTTTCTAGACTTGATATCATAGTAGATAACAACCTTATACCCCATAGCAAAACCCAGAAACACACACTGAATGGCTATAGGTTGTAGTTTATTTGCATTAAAAGGTCTAATTAGTAGATAGACAGCAGTTCCAAAGATCTTAAGATTGTATACTTCTGGTTCTTGATCAAACAAAACCTAATAAGGAGACTTCATCTCCAAAATTCTTGAAGGCATTTTGTTAATAAAAGAAACGGCATGTGAACAAGAATGAAACTAGAAAGATGTAGGAATTTGTGCTTCTGTCATCAAAGTCAAAGCTGTCTCAACTAAGTGTTTATGCTTCCTCTCAGCAATTCCATTTTGCTAAGGGGTGTGTGGACAAGATACCTGATAAGTAATGCCCTTATCTGCCAAAAAATTATGGAATATATTACTCATGTATTCCCCTCCACCATTAGATTGAAGACATTTAATATTAGTATTGAACTGATTAAACACAAAGCTGTGAAATTTGACAAATACAGAAAAAAGTATCTGATTCATTCATCATAGGGTAAATCCGTACAAACCTAGAGAAATCATCTATAAAACTGATGTAGTATCTATAGCCTTCTACATATTTCTAAAGTGAAGGACCCCAAACATCTGAATGTATCTTCTGAAATATAAATTTTGATCTCTCTTGTTTTACATGGAAATGCAGTTTACTCATCTTGCCTTGAATACAAGCAGAACATATAGAACTAGATAACTCACTACTCAATAGCAACTGTGCATTCTACAACATTGAATTCAATACTTATTCTGAAGGATGTCCTAATCTCTTATGCCATACTGATGTCTTCACTTTCTTCCCTATAAATGCAGCACACTTCCCCAACCTTGCGGCAAATGAATTAGAGAACACACTAACTGGTATTTTGAACAGCTCACCATCATCACTCTCCCTGGTACAAGATCATTCTTGTTGCCTTGTCCTATATAAACAAGACCAAATCATCACGCACAAACCAACAACCATTATCCCTACATAACTTTTTAACTAACAACAAATTCATGGTAATTTTGGGAACATGTAAAACATTATGCAGAATAAGATCATTAAATGATGTTTTTATAGATGAGGATCCAATGTGTTGAACTTGCAAACCTTCACCATTTCCAACAGTGATCTTAGTATCATCATTGCAAGGAATAACCTGATTGATGATATCTAAATTAGTTGTCATGTGGTGAATGGCACCTGTGTCTACTACCCATGTAACAGCTACAGAGAACTCATGAACATTAGGATTGGAACCAATACCATTTGATCATTGAGTAGTCATACCAGCAAGTGAGGTGGTGGAGGGTTGCCTTGATATAAGTAGTTGTTCCTGTTATAGCAGTCCAGTGCTATATGATCTTTTTTTTCCAAATTTGACACACATTATTATTCCCAAAAGATTGATCTGGTGCTAAGATTGATTCTCGTGACACTGATGATCTGTAGTTTTTATTACCTTACCAACCACTTCCTTGTCTTGGACCATTTCCAGAGAAGAACCCATTTGAACCATTCCCACCAAAACTATTTTGATTGCCTTTAGTATATGAAACTGTTGTTAGGATGTCCAGAGTATCTTCTATTATTATAATTGTTGTAAGTATTCCTCTGCTGTGTCTGAAATGACTTTCCCCCATTTCCAGCATAGCCAGATCCTCCATCAAAATTTACTTCTCCCTAAGACCTGTTAGCATTAGAACTCTCCCCTTGCTCATATCCTTGGTAACTTCCTTGATATTTCTGTGAATTGCTAGGCTCACCTTGAATACACATAGTTGACATTGTGGTTGACAGACTTGTAACCTTAGAATCAATATAAGTTTCAGCACCAAGAAGTTGTGCTAAAAAATCTTTGAGTGAAATTGATGTATCTCTAGCAAGCAACACTCTTTTAATAACCTTAAACTCTGGTGGCAAACCAGGCATCATAGCAATTTTAAAATCATTTTCTGTGATCTTTTCTCCAGTTGACACCAATTGATTTCTAATTCCTTTCAATTAGAGTAAGAACTTATCCACAGATTTAGTCTCTTTCTGTGCATTATGAAATTCTATCTTCAATTGGTTCTCGAACTAGAAGCAAATCGGTCTTGAAGACATTCCCAATCTTCTTGTGACGTTTGACAACCAAGTACATGATCCATGGCTTCATCAGAAAGTCTTGCAATCAGCTTAGCAAAGCTAAATCCTTCTCAACCCATTCTTTATAGGCTGTAGTAATTTCTTTGGTGACACCACATTCAGGAGTAATGCAGAACTTTGGTGGACACTGAGATTCCCCATTAAAGAACTTAAACAGATCATAACCTTTGAGAACCGATTGGAATTGATAACTCCATTTGATAAAATTATCATCTTGGAGCTTGACAGTTATCATTCCTAGCAAACTTTTGATCTTGACATTATTAGACGCCATATCAACTCAAAAAACTTCAGAGACAATTCTCAACACAAACTGCAACACGATCTTTACAGTAACAATCTTTGCACCAAGCACTCTTCAATTCACAATTTTTAATTCACAAACTGCAATGCACAACCTTCAATTCTCAATCTTGAATTAACAATCTTATAACTCACAATCTTGATTTCATACTTTTCAATTCACTATCTTCAATCTTTAAGAAACTCTCACTTATGCTTATATTTGCCTCTAATCGACATGCTTGTAACAATTCTTTCTTCATCAAAATGCTTATTTTTCTTAGCACTAACCTCAATCAATCATAAATTTCACCAAACATTCTTGAATTTCAATACAATTTCAAAGAAAACTTAACAAACTTCTCACTATGACAATTTATCAAACAGTAACTGTGCATAAAGTTTCAAGAGTATAACCTAAGAAACCAATCATCCGAGACCTTGAACCGAACAAATTGAAAGACCCAGATGAAGAAACTCAAATCGACGCTCCCCAACAAGATCACCAGTTTGTAACCTTCAGTGGAAGACGATAGCACCAAGGATCGTCCAGGCGAATGATACCATGATAACCAAACTAGAAAACTGAAAAGAAATGTTAAGACTACAAAAATGTAAGAGAGAAGAGAGATGAACACTTTTAGAAAGAGAAATCAGAATCTGATCTTTATATTCGACTTAGTACAAATGAATTACAATTTGTCCTTTTATATCTCAAGTTAGTCGGCTATAGTGCTAACTAACTCTCAACAGATTCTAACAACTCTAGCAGACTCTGCTGATATGGCTTTGCTGATGTGGCTGCTGACATGTCATTCTAACAATGATAACATCTTTATAATTATAAAATTGGTTTGATCCTGATATTATAGCTATATAGAAGTTTTACGGTAGCTTGATGATGACGTTGGGTGGAACAACGAATGGAAAGGGATCCTCTCTGGATCCCTTTTTCCTAATCCACCAAGTCCGAAGATCCAGGCTATTGAAATTTGATTCAACGACAATAAACAATGGCCCACTTTAAAAGTTCAACAGGAGCCCGTTTTAAAAGTTATAATAACTTTAATCGTTGAATCAAATTTCAATGATTCGGATCTCCGAACTTGGTGGATTAGGAGAAAATGATTCGGAGAGAATTCCTTTCCATAATGAACAACCAACGCGGGAAATTTACTGACGTGCCAAGACCTCATGGGCCATCAAGTACCCAATAATTTATCACCTCAATCACACAACACAATTATCACAAACTCCCAAGTCCTAAGAATTTGACTGCATTTAGATGAAAACCAGACTAGCAACTGTGTCTTGATGATGAAAACTACTTACATGTAATGGATAAATAATAGTAACAATTGAGAATAATAATACTTACATATATTATTAGCGTTTCATTTCAATAATACGTATTCACATATAGTTTTTCTTCACTTGGAATAACTTTATTACACGGGCAAATACGGAACCAAAAGTTCCAAGATTCCACACCTGAAATTTGAAGCTACAAATGGCGTACATGTCAATTTGAGCGCTCCAATCCAAACAAGACCTCTTTTTCCTTTTCATTTTCTTAAACTTTTCTCTCCTCTCCACCCTTTCTCTCTTTCCCTCTCTCTCTTTCTCGCTCTCGCTCTCGCCAATTTGAGAACTGGAAGCTTCTCTCTGCTCGATCATCCGGCTCCTGAATCGCTTCCGACTTTCAGTTTCAGGTGATCCTTAACTCTCTTTTCATCTCTAAACTGAAGAAGTCTTTTTTTTTTCTTTTTTTTTAGTATAACTTTCATCACTGATTTTCTTGAAGTTCTTGATCGGATCAAACTTCTTCTCCACCATAGCTGATTTATGCATGCTTGATTTCGCTTTCTCTTCAACCTGTAAATACATCTGTTGCTCGATTTTTCACTTTGGATTAAGTTTGTTAACGATATTTTGAAATCGGATCAACCGAGTTTTTGAATTGAATTTTATTCAAAAATTGAGCAAAAATTTGTGTGTGGTTAAAATTTTCACTCGCTTTGTTCATTTACTGAGGTAATATTTGATTATTTCTTACAGGCTGGTGGTTGCTAAGATGTTGAGGTCAACAATTCTTGACTAAACTACTTGAAGACGACTTGGAGAGGAAGTAAAAGAGCATATTAAGGTAAATATATATTTTTTCCTATATTTGGAGAAATTTTTTATTGTGATGATACACAACGTGTTTTTATACAAGTAGTGAAAAATTGTAGTTTTTAAGGCCCCGTTTGACAGCTCGGATTGTACTGACTATTTCTGTCGGATAGGATAAATAGTCACCGGATAGTACTGACTAAATTAGTCGGGCGTTTGGTGCTGTATCGGATTAATGACCGTATTATTTATACTGTGTTTGGTACTGAACCGGATAGGACAAAAGAAAAAAAAATTTAACAAATCTTTCTTTGTTTGTTGAACTTTTCTCATATTTATACCTATTGAAAACCAAATAAATTTTCAAATAACAAAGAAAAATAGTAAATTTCATACATCAAATTCAAAATATTTTCTAATAACATAAAAAAAAGGTTCACAAAAAACAACTACAATCGTTACGATATATAATCCAACCACATATCCAAGTTCATAAAATATACAAATGCAAGGTGGTTTCAGTAAGAAACAGTTTGTCCAGATAGCCAAAATATATGCATGCTACTTTTAACAAAATATATGCATGCTACAACTTTTAACAAAATATATTGTTGTTGGTTTGAAATGTCAATTGGGGTTACTTTGTCCAAGTAACATGAGTACAAAGGCTTTTTTCATTGCACCATCCAAAGACGAGAATGTCCTCTCATTCTGTGGCTTTTCGAAAGGGATATTTAGTACCTTGATTTGATCCTCAATAGACAAATCCATCTTTGACAATTCTGAAACAATCTCAGGTTTTGGATCCACTCCTTTCCCAAAAGCAACTTGTAAAACTTCACCCAACTTATCAACTGATTCAGAAATCTTCACACACACATAACTTGTAAAACACGCACGCGCACACACACACACACATAATCTGCACACACACATACACACACACACACACGCGCGCGCGCGCACACACACACACACACACACAATCTGCACACACACACACGCTGCACACACACGCACACACACAATCTGCGCACATTGCAAGCACACACACACACACACTGCCCTTGGTTTTCTCTTGCATTGCAAGCACACACATGCTGCGCGCGCACACACACACAATCTGCGCACATTGCAAGCACAGACACACACACACACACACACACACACACACACACACACACACACAGAGCCTTTGGTTTTCTCTTGCATTGCAAGCGAGCACACACACACAATCTGCGCACATTGCAAGCACAGACACACACACACACACGCTGCCCTTGGTTTTCTCTTGCATTGCAAGCACGCGCGCGCACACACGAGTGCACACACACACACACACACACACACACACACACACACACACACCCTGCACACACACACACACACACACACACGCTGCATAAACACACACACACACACACACACATACACCCTGCACACACACACGCTGCACAAACACACACACACACACACACACACACGCTGCGCGCACACACACACACACACACACAGAATTAAAATTGTAAGTTCAACACCAACAACAAACCCTAAATTCGACCCCAATAGAAAACCCTAAAATTCAAAAATTTTAATTAAAACACAAAATTACATAATCAATTGCATAATTAGAGAGAAAATGATAACTAGATTCAATCAATTGAAAGAAAATTGCAAGAAAAATAGGAGGAGGGGGAAGAATAGAGGGAGGGGCGGAATCCTAGAAGAAGAAATCTGAAAAGTACTGTGATTCAAACGAAGAAGAAGAAGTTGAGAAGACGAACCTGGGATGAGAGGAAAAGAGAGTGCCTGGAGAGGAAGAAAAAGCACCTGGAGAGCACTGGAGAGCGCCTGTAGAGGAAGAGATGGTAAGGAAGACTGCTCTTTCCAACCGAAGCCCGACTAATTTGTACCGTGCATTTGCACGGTATTACTAAGCAGGTAAACATTGGGTAAAAAATGTGGGCCCAGATTATTTAATCCGGTGCTTATTTAATCCAAACGGTCACCAAACACGTTACACCGTATTATTAGTCCTATCCGGTGCCTTATACGATGTACCAAACAGGGCCTAAGTTATTAACTTTTTAACACATATATCCCACCATTTGTATAATGACACATGGTGTACTACTTCGTGTCCGATCACATTGAAAAATCTGTCCTATATTTGACTCTCAGCTGGAATTACAGGATAAAAGCTGCAATTACGTAATTCTATTAGTATTTTGAGGGTACATTTTGGAAAAAGAAAGTATTAATCTGGTTTTTTTCTACTTTTATATATTATAGCATTTGTTGACTTTCTTTTTCAAAAGAAAAATTTACTAATACTTTTTTTTAACCAACCATATTAGCTAGATTAAGATAAGGGATATGCTTAGCATCACAATGGGCTAGCAATAATTTGGTTCAAATTTGTTTTGGTGTGAATCGAAGGAAATAAACAAAAAGAAACAGCTCATTTTTTACAATTTTATTTTGGATATATATATATAGAGAGAACAACTCATTTTTTTAGGTATTACATGTTAACTATCTTTTTTGGGTTCCAAATCGACTTTATAGGGGATTTACCTTTTTAAAATAGATGATGTGACATCAGATTTTGGACTTTTACTAAATTTTTTTTTTTTTTTGGCAAATTTTACTAATTTTGATTCAATAAAACATTTTTAAAAGTAGCCTTATTTATTAATTTTGTTTTTTGTGTTTCTAATTCTTTAGAGATTAGTGTGCTCATCATCTTCACTCAAGTTTATTCCTCCACCGTCCTTAGTATAAATATATTATTGTAGAAGAAAAATTGATGCCATGCAGGATTGAAAATCAGTCTAAAGCCAATTCAGATTTGGTTGGTTGATTGGAAATTCCTGGTAGGTAAAGCTGTTGGTTTGGCTTTGTACATGCCACCTAAAGTAGCTATGGCAAAGGACCATGCTAGTTTCCATTTCCATGTATAGATTCATTGATCGGGTTGTCGTGAATCTTGTTTCATAGAACGGGTTGTTGTGAATCCTATTTCACCTAAGTCTTTCTCCTGTGAATTAAATCAAACAAGAATATATAATCTATTGCTTTTCTTGTGATAATTTTACAGTGAGAGTGAAGCGAGGATAAAAAATGAGTAAGAAGTCCGTACCTGGATAAACATACGCACAAACCTCATTAAGTTGACGTTTTAGAATAAACAAAGTTCTTGATCGGTTTAAACTTCTTCTCCGCCATAGTTGATTTATGCATGCTTGATTTCACTTTCTCTTCAACCTATAAATACATATGTTGCTCAACTTTTCGCTTTGGACTAAGTTTGTTAACAATATTCAGAAATCGGATCAACCGAGTTTTCGAATTGAATTTTATATACAAATTGAGCAAAAAATTTGTGTGAATGGTCAAAATTTTCACTCGCTTTGTTCATTTACTGAGGTAATATTTGATTATTTCTTGCAGGCTGGTGGTTGCTAAGATTTTGAGGTCATCAATTCTTGACTAAACTTCCTGAAGACGACTTGGAGAGGAAGTAAATGAGCGTATTAAGGTAAATATATTTTTCTTTATTGTAAATTTATGAGAATGAATGCCATAGCAATATATTTGTTAGTTTTCAAAATTCCACGGTAGTTTGTTATTATGTGCAGTTTTCCAAAAGGCTACAGTAGTATGATTGTTATTATGTGAAGTTTTCAACATTTCACTTTTTGGTTTGTTATGGATGTGACTCTATATAAAGAGCACTCCGTGTGTGATTACAATACGCATCAAAGAAAAGAAGTAAAGCAATAATATCAATATCTCTTTATTCCTCTTTTTCCTGCAATCTTTTGTGTTATAGTTACGAAACTAAACAGTGTGATATCTAGCACCCGATTCTCTTCTGTCCATAGTAAAGGTTATTTCTCTAACTTTTTCCTATTTATAATACGTTATCAGCACGACTTTCTAACCTTAACCAGATCTCATCTCCCTTCGCCGAAAAATGCTTCCTCCAAGGATTTTACTGTTCTTCTTCCTCCTTTGCCCAACCTGCTTGATGTACCCTCGCCAAGATCTGCTAGCACCGTGCTTGCTCTTAGTTCTCAATATAACAATTACTTGTATTTTTTATTCTCGTTTGGTGTAGCTCCTAACTACTAACCTAGTGTTTATTTATGTGAATTTTACTGCGACGTACAAAATTGCATGAACTATAGGGGTATTAAGTTAATGAGTCATATAATGAAGCTTTGGGAGAGAGAGTAATTAAGCATAAACTAAGGCAAGAGACATAGGTTTCAGATAACCAATTCGGGTTTATGTCAAGACACTCAACCATGGAGGCAATCTATCTCTTACGAAGATCGATGGAAAGATATAGAGATATGAAAAAGGATTTGCACATGGTCTTTATAGATTTGGAAAAGGCATATGATAGGTATGATCAAGTAAGGACTGCCGTAAGAACTCATGAAGGACAAACCGAAAGATAAAACCCAGGAAGGAGTATGCTTTTTGCAGACGATATAGTGTTGATAGATGAAACTCACGAAGGAGTAAATGCGAAGCTTAACCTTTGGAGAGAAGTGTTGGAATCTAAAGGTCTTTGCCTAAGTTGGTCAAAGACAAAGTATATGGAGTGCAAGTTTAGTGCAAATGGAGGCTCAAATAAGTTAAGGGTGAGGATTGGAGATCATGAAGTGCCAAAGAGCGATCGCTTTTGCTACCTAGGATTTATCTTGCAAAAGAATAAAGAGTTGGATAAAGACCTCAACCATAGAATACAAGCTGGATGGATGAAGTGGAAGAGTGCATCCGGCGTGTTATGTGACCGTTGTATGCCGCGGAAGCTCAAGGAAAAATTTTATAGGACGACCATAAGATTGGCAATGCTTTATGGCACGAAATGTTAGGTAGTAAAGCATCAACACATACATAAAATGGGTGTAGCGGAGATGAGAATGCTTCGTTGGATTTGTGGGCACACAAGAAAGGATAAGATTAGGAATGAGGATATCCAAAGTAAAGTAGGAGTAGCCAAAATTGAAGGAAAGATGAGAAAAAATCGATTACGGTGGTTTGGACATATGAAACGAAGGCCTACTGGCGCTCCGGTTAGAAGATGCGATTGTGGGACAGAGGTTCAGGGTCGAAGGGGTAGAAGAAGACCTTGGAAGAATTTGGAAGGGACTCTAAGAAAAGACTTAGAGTACTAGGATCTAATGGAAGAAGTGACACAACCTAGCGCAATGACGTTCTAGGATTCATATAACTGACCCCATGTAGTGGGAAAAGGTTTTGTTGTTGTTGTTACTACGATCAAAGATGGTGTTGTGCAATTGCCCATCTTGAACTACAAATTTAATTTTATTGCAATTCTAGGTGGTGCGGTATAATCGCCCACCCTGCTCTGCATATTTAAATTTTCCTACCGCTTGAGTAGTGTCGTATAATCGTCCATCCTATGCTATATTGTTTCAATGAGAGTGGTGCGGTACATCGCCTTCCTCATTAATCATGTAAATCTCGAGCCTGAAGTTTCAAGTGCTTATCATTTTGGCCTGAAGATCAAAATGAAAAATATATAAAAACCAGAAGTTCTAACACTACATTTATCCAAAAGACATATTATTGCAAATTCTTACACATCTCATTTTTCTTTCAGAAAAGAAAATGGTGAACTTGGCAAAACTTGATTTTGTTGCCTTAGATATTACTGGAAAAAACTACCTTACTTGGGTAGTGTACATCAAGATCCATCTAGGGGTAGAGAATCTTAGAGAAACCATCAAGGAGGAAATTCTCTCAAGATCGGGCAAAGGTCATGATCTTTATCTGTTGTCACCTTGATGAAGGATTGAAGAGCGAGTACCTAACGGTTGAAAATCCATTAGCCCTCTGGAAGGCATTAAGAAATAGATACAATCACCAGAAAATGGTGATTCTTCCAATGGCTCGTTGTGAGTGGACACATCTAATGATCCAAGATTTTAAGACGGTTGCTGAGTATAACTCTACAATGTTAAGAATTAGCTTCCAAATGAAGCTTTGTGGGGAGACCATCACTGAAGAAGATATGCTAGAAAAGACTTTCAACACCTTTTATGCTTGCAACATGCTCATGCAGAAACAGTATAGAAAATGATGCTTTACTGAGTACAACCAGCTAATATCGGTGCTTTTTGTGGCTAAACAAAACAATGAGCTCCTAATGAAAAATTATCAGTCTCGACCTACTGGATCGACATTATTCCCAGAAGTGAATGTTGCTTCCTTTGAAGTGAATACCACATCCCCTTGTGGCAATAATTACAAATGAGGACGTGGCCACAGACGAGGCCGATGGAATGGGAAATGCAAAAATCATGGTGTCCAGTTTCACAACCAGGGTCCAAGGCATAATTCAGGCCTGAGCTTCAAAAATTTAAATCGCCACAAAGGTAAAACTCATATGAATAACACTCCTAGAAATCAGGGAGGAGCCTGCCATAGGTGTGGTCGCAATGGGCAATGGGCGCATACCTGTCGTACCCTAAAACATCTAATGGACCTGTATCAAGCCTCCCTCAAGGAGAAGGATGTTGAAACCAATTTTCTCGACCAGGCTAAACCAATGGATATTCCTGATCCCGTGTTCGATTTATCAAGGAAATTGAACACAACCCACTTAGATGTCTCACATTTCATTGTGGAAAAGGGGAATGAAGTGTATCGGTCCAATTGAATCATTTCTATTTGATATACTCTTATTATCTGAATTTGTAGTTTAAAGATCGCATTTTAATTCAATCGCATTTCATTATGAATAAATTGTTTTTAACTATGATTCCCTTACTTAGAGAGCATGGATAAAAATTGTGGTTATTCTCAAAACAAGAGTAATGACGGAGATATTTGTCTTGCAAACAACGCAACCATGCATACAATACTTCGAGATCGAAAATATTTGGGCATTAGTC